TGTCCGTCTGTTTCGGGGTGGTACGATGAACTGAACTGTATCCTCGTGCCGAACTGCTGCCACAGGTTCCGCCAGAAGTTGCTGGTGAATTTCGTGTCTCTGTCGCTGATGATTGATGCTGGTATCCCGTGCAGTCGAACGATGGTGGAGATGAAGAGGCGGGCTGTTTCTTCGGCTGTGATTGATTTTTTGCAGGCTGCGAAGTGTGCCATTTTCGTCAGTCGATCGACGACGACCAGGATCGCGTTATTCCCACTCGCCCCGGCCGGTAACCCTGTGACGAAGTCCATCGTCACCTGCTGCCAAGCACGCTCTGGTGGTGGGATCGGCTGCAACTGTCCCGCCGGCCGCTTCCGTGATGCCTTCATGATCTGGCAAGTGGGGCACGATGCCACGTGTCGCTGCACGTCGGTCAACATTTCGGGCCAATAATAATACCGCTGCAGCTGCTGCCGTGTTTTTTCTACCCCGAAATGTCCCGAGGTAACCCCGTCGTGTGCTTCCTGTAATAGTAGTTCCCGTAGCAGTGTGTACCCTGGTACCCAGATGCGGTCGGTCCCGGCTTTTACGTAATAGACTCCCTTGGCTGCTGCGAACTGCTGCGAATTTCCTCCTGTGAAGAATGGGTCTGTTTGATATCCGTGGGTAAATAGTCCTGTCAGTAGTGGGCTGGTCTGGGCGAGTAGTATCGCGTGGATTTGGGCAGTGGGGCGGGTCAGTGCGTCGGCGATGTTCGAGGCTCCTTTTTTATAGGTGACCGTGTAGTGGAAATTCGACTCGAGGAAATCGAGCCAACGAATCTGTCGTGGGTTGAGGTGGGGCTGTGCGCGGAGGTACTGTAGTGATCGGTGGTCTGTCCGTACTGTCACGTCTGCGCCGGTCAAGTAGCAGCGCCACACTTTGAACGCATGCACGATCGCGGGCATTTCGCGGTCGTGTATCGGGTAATTTCGCTCGGGCGGATGCAGTTTTCGTGACTCGTATGCGATGGGCTGTAGGCCGTTGCCGAAGTCCTGTAGCAGTACGGCTCCGATGGCGATGTCGCTTGCGTCAGTAACAACCTCGAAGGGGCGGTGTGGGTCGGCGATGCGCAGGACGGGTGGTGAACAGAGAACATTTTTCAGGGCAGAGAAGGCAGCATGCTCTTTCTCCCCCCACGTAAAAGCGACCCCCTTGCGCAGTAAATCAGTCAGCGGGGCAGTCAACTGTGCCATGTCGGGGACGAACCGACGCACATAATTAACGAACCCCAAAAAACTCTGCAGCTCCGTGATGCAGGTCGGGGGACGCCACGCTTTTACCGTATCCAGCTTCTTTGGGTCGATTTCAACTCCAGCCTCCGAAATAACGTGCCCCAAAAATTCTAACCTATCCTGGAAGAACTCGCACTTTGAACCCTTGGTCAGTAGGCGATGCTCGTCTAAAACCTTAAAAACTGCTTCGAGATCCGTTAAGTGCTGCTGTTTGTCCCGACTGTAAACTAGGATGTCATCGAGGTAAACTATGACGCACTTATCTAAGAGCGGTCTAAATGCCTCGTTCATGGTCATCTGAAAAGTCGCCGGTGCGTTGGTCAGCCCGAAAGGCATCACCGTGTACTCGAACGACCCGTACCTAGTCCTAAATGCTGTCTTGGCGCAGTCCGATGGTTCGACCCGAATCTGGTGGTAACCCCCGCGTAAGTCTATTTTCGAAAACACCCGTGCTGTTCGCAATTGGTCGATCAGTTCGTCGGCGCGGGGAATGGGGTATCGTGACTTGACCGTTACCCTGTTCAGTGCTCTGTAGTCGATACACATGCGAAAACCCCCGTCTTTCTTCGGCGTAAACAGTATCGGTGCGGCGAATGGTGACGAGCTTGGTCGGATGAATTTTTTCTCTAACAGGTAATCTAACTGCTTCCTTAGCTCGTCGAGCTCGGGTTGTGTCAGTCTGAACTGGCGCTGTACGGTTGGCTGTGCCCCTGGTTCTAATTCGATTCGGTGGTCATGTGCTCGCTGAGGTGGCAACCCTTCCGGTAAGTCGTCGGGGAAAATCCCGGGGTACCGTTTCAACAGTTCCTGTAATTCGGGCGGTACAACTTCCAGTAGTTTCTTGAAATCGCTCGGCTGCTCCGCTTCCTCTACTACTGCGATATCTACTGCGTACACGTCAGCTCCAGCAGCGACAGCCCGTTTCATCGTGATGGCGTTGACGTGCACCGTTGATGACTCGGGCGACTGCGAGCGAGGTAGTTGGACCCAGTTACCACTACTTCGCACAGTGCAGCTACCCGTCGTCCAGTCAATCCGCGGGTTATACCGTCGCAGCCAATCGCGCCCCAGTAAAATGTCGTGCCCATCCAGTGTTGTTGCGAGCATTTCCAGTGTAAACCCGAAATTCCCCCCGCAGCGGACTTTGACTCTCTCCACCTTTTCCCGTATGGCCAGCGGCGTGCCGTCAACTAAGCGTGCGTCTATCTCCGGTAAACATCGGCTAAGTGTCAGTCGCAGTTTCCGTGCGGTTGCGGTATTAACTAAACTGTGGCTTGCTCCTCCGTCAATAAAAATCTTCACTGCTGCTCCCTGTATTTTCCCGTGGATCAGTACTGGGCAATCCGTCGCTGTACCCTCCTTATTCATCCGAGCCCGATCGATGGCGTGAATCGGTACTGTGACTCGGTGAGGGTCGGTGTGGTTGGGCGAGCAGGCAGTCTCGTCAGTAGTTGGCCCAACCTCTACTGACTGCTGGCGTTTCCCTGCCTCTGAGACTCCCTCCCCTGCTCTGCTCCGCGGCGCCTTAGCTCCTCTGGGCATTCGCTCTTGCGATGGCCCGGCCTGTTGCAAGCAAAGCAGCGCCCCTTAAATGGCGCAGCAGCTGCATTTGTCGCAACGGCGTTTACAGTGGCGTGCTCGATCGGTCCCCGAGGACGATGTCCGTGGTAGAACCCCGGTCTCGGTCGTCGTAGGATGTCGATTTTCTCGGCGAGCGCGAGAATCTCGGTGAAGTTCGAGAGTCCGCGTAGCATGATCTCGTGCGAGATGTCCGGCTTCAGCCCTCCGACGTAACGGTCCACCCGCTCCGCCTCGTGCATATAGCCGACTTGCTCGCAAAGTGCGAGAAAACCGCTCGTGTAATCTTGAACTGATCCGAGTTGCCGCCAGGTACGCAATTTCTGACGCGCCGAAATAGAAGCCGCGATCGGCTCGAAGCGCGCCCGAAGCCCTGCGCACCACGCATCCCACGTGCTGTATTGGGCGGTTTCGCAGAACGAACTCCAGTTAACAGCTGGACCCGGGGGCCCTTCCTCTTGCGACGGTGGCTCGTAGGCGCGTGGCGACGTCACAATGACTCGCCACCAGTCCATGGCGGGGCCCCTTAGCAGCGAAACGGCATACCGAATCTTCGCTGCGTCCGACTCGACGTAATTCGCGTCGAAAAAAACGTTCATCGTGAAGACCCACGATTGAACCGTCGGACCCCCACGTTGGCTTGGGTCGAAACAGGGCGGGCGTTGCGGCTTGAGTGGCATTGGCGCCGTGAAGGCTTGTTCGCCGCTTGTCGCTGCGAATTCCACGTGCCGACGGTCTCCACGAGGCTCCCGTGGGCTTGGCGCGCTCCTGTTTCCTCCCATGCCAGGCATTGGTTGGGCGGCGCTATCACTGGCTGCGCCCGAGCGCTGTCCCATGCTGTCGTGCGGTGTTGGCGTGCCGGACGAGATGACGATCGGCTCGTCTGATTGCGCAGGTGCATTTGTTGGTGCGTGTGGTGCTGCTGGAGTGTTCACCGAGGATTGCTGACGCGCGGAGTCACGCTCCGCTGTGAGCGTCGCAATTTCGATCGCCGAATCTTCGAGTTGGCGCACCAGACGGTCGAGCTGTTCCTGCGTCAATGTGGCGAGCGTGAATTCGGCCATGGCGGGGGTGTCGGGCGAGCTCAGCGAGAGCCTCAGTCGTGGCCGTGCGTGCTTACGAGAGAGCACTACGAGCGGCGGTGCTGTATCGCTGAGAGACGTCTACCCCCCCCAAAAATTTGAGATAGTGGGGAAGCGAAGGTGTGGGTGCGGTCCGAGAAGAGATCGTAGGCTCTGAATACCAAGTATTACGAGTGCAATTGAGTGAACGAACGAGAATTGCACTATCGAAGCAAGAGTACAATGAGCGAAGGTATGAGCGAAGAATATATAGCGAAACTATAGTGGTAACGGTAATGGACTGTGGTTGTCGCGCGACGGGCCTGGGACTGAGGTTGGGAAAAAGTGTCGAAGCGGAGGCCCGGAGCGCGGGTTACCCGCCGAGCCGTGAGGTCGGGGTGCGACGTGCGAAAGTGGCGGGCGGATTGCCGATGCGAGGATGGCGAGTGGTAACGGTGCTGACTGTGGTGCTACAGTGATGTACGCGTTGAGCAGGGATGCGAAGTAAGGAAAAAGAGATTTTCCTTACAGTACGCTACAATTTCAGTCAGTACAGTTGTTACGAGTTGTGATGTAAGAGTGTATAGAATTCAATAACGTGGAACAAAATACAACTACTGAGAGAATAATGAAGCCAAGTACCGTACTACAGTAATATAGCAGTGCTAGCTAGATCAAAGTCGCGGAGTAGTGAGTTGGTTGTGCAGGTTTAGGGTTGGAAAACCCGAAGGCCTTGCCACTTGCACAATGCATGATATACGGTACAGTACAAGGTTAGACCTCAAAATTTGTGAAAAAGTGGGAGCAGGCTGGATATTGTAGCCATGAAGAGGCACTGTGACAGGTCACAGGGGTCGCCCAGCACAACACGCCTATCACACTTTTTAATGTTGTTTTGTTGCTGTCCTCAAGGGGCCCCACAAATATGCAAACAAACAAACCGGTGCACCAATCACTCTTCAATCGAACTCAACACACGCCTTGAGCAATGGGGACCCTTGCAGTCAGGCAGGAGGCAAAGCGGTGATAAACCGCTGCTTGATTCACCCAACGGCTGGGAATGGCAAGCGTGCGAGCACCACGCCAACAGCTGCGCGCATGCTGTTCCTCACAACCCCTTGCACGTGAGCGCTCTCCTCTCCTCTCCTCCCTGCTGCCTCCACAACCCCCTTGCCTCAGCTCGGACTATCCACCTTTCCCTCGCCCTCGCTTCTCTCCCCTTCCTCCACCCCTTCGCCTCCTGCCCTCCGCTGCCGCCCCTCCTCCACCTCCTCATCCTCCTCTGCTTCTCCTGACAACCTCCTTTCCCTTCTCTCCCCTGCCCCTTCCCCCTCCCCCTCCCCCTCCCTCTCCCCTTCCCTGACCCACTCTCCCGCCCCTCCCCGCCCATCCCCACGGCCCCTCTCGATCCCTCCCATGCCAAACGCACTCTCCTCCATTCCACCCTCCCCCTCCCCCCCTCCCCCTTCCTCATCCCCTCTCGCCCCGCCCTCCACCCCACCGCCCCCAGTGCGGCCCCCCACCCCCCCCTCCTCCCCATCAGTATCGTCCGCTCCCTCCCCTAGCTCCTCTCGCCTCCTCTTCACCCCAATCCGCCCCTCCCCTCCCTGCTCGCCCTCCTCATCCCCATCTTGCTGCTCCCGTTCAGACAACTGCTGCTCATGTGTCGCCTGCTCCTGCTCCTGGCCCTTGCCATCCTGCTCCTCCTGCTCCTCCTGCTGCTGCTGCTGCGCCATCTCCTCCCCCGCGTGCTGAGCGCCCAAGCCCAGGTGGTGCAGGTGCTGCAGGTGGTGCGGGGGCAGGCGGGCGGGCTGGGCGGGGAACCCCACTTCCGTGGCGTGTGCTGCCACAGCAGCCGTGCTTGCAGGGCCCTGCGCGGGGAGAGGAGGGGCAGAGGCACACACGAGAGGGCGACGGTGAGGGGGCGGGCAGGCGGGCTGGGCGGGGAACCCCACTTCCGTGGCGTGTGCTGCCACAGCAGCCGTGCTTGCAGGGCCCTGCGCGGGGAGAGGAGGGGCAGAGGCACACACGAGAGGGCGACGGTGAGGGGGCGGGCAGGCGGGCTGGGCGGGGAACCCCACTTCCGTGGCGTGTGCTGCCACAGCAGCCGTGCTTGCAGGGCCCTGCGCGGGGAGAGGAGGGGCAGAGGCACACACGAGAGGGCGACGGTGAGGGGGCGGGCAGGCGGGCTGGGCGGGGAACCCCACTTCCGTGGCGTGTGCTGCCACAGCAGCCGTGCTTGCAGGGCCCTGCGCGGGGAGAGGAGGGGCAGAGGCACACACGAGAGGGCGACGGTGAGGGGGCGGGCAGGCGGGCTGGGCGGGGAACCCCACTTCCGTGGCGTGTGCTGCCACAGCAGCCGTGCTTGCAGGGCCCTGCGCGGGGAGAGGAGGGGCAGAGGCACACACGAGAGGGCGACGGTGAGGGGGCGGGCAGGCGGGCTGGGCGGGGAACCCCACTTCCGTGGCATCTGCTGCCACTGCAGCGGCACTCGCAGGGCCCTGCGCGGGCGGAGGGGCAGTGACAACGCGAGAGGGGTGGCAGTGAGGGGCGGCAGTGAGGGGCGGCAGTGAGGGGCGGCAGTGAGGGGCGGCAGTGAGGGGCGGCAGTGAGGGGCGGCAGTGAGGGGCGGCAGTGAGGGGCGGCAGTGAGGGGCGGCAGTGAGGGGCGGCAGTGACGGGTGAAGTTGGAGAAGCGGATGGTCTGTGTGGCAGCAAAGGTGGCGCACACGAGGGCGCGCAAGAGGTTGGGCCGGTTCAGTGGGGTGCGAGGCACATGTGTGATACGTGGCACACGTGGCACAAGAATTGACGACAGTGCGAACCTACGTGCCGGCACAGTTTTCACCTTATGCTCGCAGCGGAGCAGAGCATTCACTTGGAATGCGCCAAGCAGACTTCTGGGTGCAGTATGGGCCAACGTCAGTATGGGTGCAACCTACGTGCCAGCATCGTTTTCACCTTACGCTCGCAGCGGAGCGGAGCATTCACTTGGAATGCGGTGAGCAGACTTCTGGGTCGACTCAAAAGTCAGTATGGGTGCAGCCTACGTGCCAGCATCGTTTTCACCTTGTGCTCGCAGCGGAGCGGAGCATTCACTTGGTATGTGCCGAGCAGGCAACAAATCAACGGGGCCGGGGAAGGGGGGAGCATAAAACGTGCGAGTGCAAAGTTGCGACAACCGAGCTCCCACAAGGCCTTAGGGTGCAGAGATGCAAGCTTGGGCTTTCTCCAGTGCCTTTTTGTTAACTACTTCCAGCATCTCTTTAACCAGGCAGAGAGTCAAGAGGGGTTTCACCCACCTGTTGCAAGAAGTGCGGCTGCTGCTGTGCTGCCTGCTCAACTTGCTCCCGCTGCTCTTCCTGCTGCTCCCCCTGCTGCTGCACTTGATGTGGCAACCCTGCCCCCCCACCTGCCTCTGCCTCCGCCTCTGCACCAGCCCCCACTCCAGCCCCCATGCCCGCTGCCATGCCATGCATCGCGGCCATTGCAGCGCCTGCTGCGCCCCCTGCCGCCCCTGCTGCTCCAGGCTGCACCCCGGCTGGCCCGGATGGCATTTGTGAGAGCACGGGGATGGCAGGCGGGCCCTTGCTTAGATCCCGTAGCACACCCTGGGTGGTGGGATAGAGGGGGGAGAAGGTGGAGAGGTGTGAGATGGGGAGGAGAAGAAGGAAGGAAACAGCCGAGAAGGCAGCAAAGCGTGCAGAGACGCCGCACTGTGCATGAGGCTTGGGAGTAGGGCCTTGTTGGCCCACATGAGCCGCACGCACCTTGTTGGCCCACATGAGCCGCACGCACCTTGTTGGCCCACATGAGCCGCACGCACCTTGTTGGCCCACATGAGCCGCACGCACCTTGTTGGCCCACATGAGCCGCACGCACCTTGTTGGCCCACATGAGCCGCACGCACCTTGTTGGCCCACATGAGCCGCACGCACCTTGTTGGCCCACATGAGCCGCACGCACCTTGTTGGCCCACATGAGCCGCACGCACCTTGTTGGCCCACATGAGCCGCACGCACCTTGTTGGCCCACATGAGCCGCACGCACCTTGTTGGCCCACATGAGCCGCACGCACCTTGTTGGCCCACATGAGCCGCACGCACCTTGTTGGCCCACATGAGCCGCACGCACCTTGTTGGCCCACATGAGCCCGCATGCGTTGCAGAGGGTGCGTGGCCCCTGCGGCCCGCGGCGCATCATGGGAGTGGCCTTCTCCCCCGTGCCACAGTGCTGGCAGCTGCAGCGTGGCGGTGGGGGGGGCATGCATGGTGGTGCGAGGGAGGGACATGCATGGTGGGAGGGAGGGGCATGCATGGTGGTGCGAGGGAGGGACATGCATGGTGGGAGGGAGGGGCATGCATGGTGGTGCGAGGGAGGGACATGCATGGTGGTGCGAGGGAGGGACATGCATGGTGGGAGGGAGGGACATGCATGGTGGGAGGGAGGGGCATGCATGGTGGTGGGGGGGGCATGCATGGTGGGGGGGGCATGCATGGTGGGAGGGGCATGCATGGTGGGAGGGGCGTGCATGGTGGGAGGGGCATGCATGGTGGGAGGGGCGTGCATGGTGGGAGGGACATGCATGGTGGGAGGGGCATGCATGGTGGGAGGGGCATGCATGGTGGGAGGGGCATGCATGGTGGGAGGGGCGTGCATGGTGGGAGGGGCATGCATGGTGGGGGGGGCATGCATGGTGGGAGGGGCGTGCATGGTGGGAGGGACATGCATGGTGGGAGGGAGGGGCATGCATGGTGGGAGGGGCATGCATGGTGGGAGGGACATGCATGGTGGGAGGGAGGGGCATGCATGGTGGGAGGGGCGTGCATGGTGGGAGGGACATGCATGGTGGGAGGGGCATGCATGGTGGGAGGGGCATGCATGGTGGGAGGGGCGTGCATGGTGGGGGGGGCGTGCATGGTGGGAGGGAATGAGACGGAATGATCCATGGAAGGCTCTTTACACAGCCGCGAACTGGTCGGAACGATGAGCACCACGTGCGGATGGAAGGATGGGAGCGATGCTAGAGGTGGGAGCGATGCTAGAGGTGGGAGCGATGCTCGAGGTGGGAGCGATGCTCGAGGTGGGAGCGATGCTCGAGGTGGGAGCGACGTGGGGGATGGGAGCGATGGGAGCTATGGGAGGGGTGGGAGGGAGAGAGTGGCTCACATGGCTTCAGGGCTCACATGGCTTCAGGGCTCACATGGCTTCAGGGCTCACATGGCTTCAGGGCTCACATGGCTTCAGGGGCGGCATCGGGGCAGTCGTGGGCGGCGCTCTCCCCCATGTCGGGCGGCGCATCCTCAAAGAAGGCACCGCCCCCTCGGTTCGACGCGAACTGGCCCTTCTTGCGACACATCCTGCTCCCCTCCGTGCATGGCGGACCGTGGGGAATGCGGAGAGGCCGCAGGCAAGGAGAGGGTGGGGGGGGGTGTGGGGGGGGAATGGAAAGGAAATGGAAGTGATGGTGCACGATGAGGCGTATCCAAGAAGCCCCTCCGGAGAGGACCATGCATGGCGGACCATGGGGAATGCGGAGAGGCCGCAGGCAAGGGGCAGGGACACAGAAAGGACACGGAAGTGATGGTGAAGCAGCATCCTTGCGCACGCTGTAGCGGATCTCACCGCTGAGCCACCTCCTTGCGCACGCTGTAGCGGATCTCACCTCTGAGCCACCTCCTTGCGCACGCTGTAGCGGATCTCACCTCTGAGCCACCTCCTTGCGCACGCTGTAGCGGATCTCACCTCTGAGCCACCTCCTTGCGCACGCTGTAGCGGATCTCACCTCTGAGCCACCTCCTTGCGCACGCTGTAGCGGATCTCACCTCTGAGCCACCTCCTTGCGCACGCTGTAGCGGATCTCACCTCTGAGCCACCTCCTTGCGCACGCTGTAGCGGATCTCACCTCTGAGCCACCTCCTTGCGCACGCTGTAGCGGATCTCACCTCTGAGCCACCTCCTTGCGCACGCTGTAGCGGATCTCACCTCTGAGCCACCTCCTTGCGCACGCTGTAGCGGATCTCACCTCTGAGCCACCTCCTTGCGCACGCTGTAGCGGATCTCACCTCTGAGCCACCTCCTTGCGCACGCTGTAGCGGATCTCACCTCTGAGCCACCTCCTTGCGCACGCTGTAGCGGATCTCACCTCTGAGCCACCTCCTTGCGCACGCTGTCGCGGATCTCACCTCTGAGCCACCTCCTTGCGCACGCTGTAGCGGATCTCACCTCTGAGCCACCTCCTTGCGCACGCTGTAGCGGATCTCACCTCTGAGCCACCTCCTTGCGCACGCTGTAGCGGATCTCACCTCTGAGCCACCTCCTTGCGCACGCTGTAGCGGATCTCACCTCTGAGCCACCTCCTTGCGCACGCTGTAGCGGATCTCACCTCTGAGCCACCTCCTTGCGCACGCTGTCGCGGATCTCACCTCTGAGCCACCTCCTTGCGCACGCTGTAGCGGATCTCACCTCTGAGCCACCTCCTCGCGCACGCTGTAGCGGATCTCACCTCTGAGCCACCTCCTTGCGCACGCTGTAGCGGATCTCACCTCTGAGCCACCTCCTTGCGCACGCTGTAGCGGATCTCACCTCTGAGCCACCTCCTTGCGCACGCTGTAGCGGATCTCACCTCTGAGCCACCTCCTTGCGCACGCTGTAGCGGATCTCACCTCTGAGCCACCTCCTTGCGCACGCTGTAGCGGATCTCACCTCTGAGCCACCTCCTCGCGCACGCTGTAGCGGATCTCACCTCTGAGCCACCTCCTTGCGCACGCTGTAGCGGATCTCACCTCTGAGCCACCTCCTTGCGCACGCTGTAGCGGATCTCACCTCTGAGCCACCTCCTTGCGCACGCTGTAGCGGATCTCACCTCTGAGCCACCTCCTTGCGCACGCTGTAGCGGATCTCACCTCTGAGCCACCTCCTTGCGCACGCTGTAGCGGATCTCACCTCTGAGCCACCTCCTTGCGCACGCTGTCGCGGATCTCACCTCTGAGCCACCTCCTTGCGCACGCTGTAGCGGATCTCACCTCTGAGCCACCTCCTTGCGCACGCTGTAGCGGATCTCACCTCTGAGCCACCTCCTTGCGCACGCTGTAGCGGATCTTCTTGTCGAAGTTGCGCTCCTTGCGCTTCTCCCGGAAGCGGTTCAGCGACGCCAGGCGCTGCGGCTGGTTCAGCCGCACCGGCAGGTCGCCCCCCACTCCCCCCCCCACATGCTGCCAGCAGGACAGGGGGACATATGGAGACAAGAGTGCAAGGTAAGAGAGACGGGAGGGGGCGAAGGGTGTGAGGAGAGGGTTCAGCCGCACCGGCAGGTCGCCCCCCACTCCCCCCCTCCCCCCCCCCCCCCAGATGCTGCCAGCCATGGCGGTTGTGTGCGTGACAGGGAGGACGGGGGAACATATGGCGCGAGGGAGATGGGAGGGCAGGGGCGAGGGTGTGAGGAGAGGGGTGGGAGGGACGAGGAGACCAAGGGGAAGGCAGGAGGAGAGCAAGGGGGAGGGACGAGGAGACCAAGGGGGAGGGAGCAGAAAGAGCATAGTGACAGATAAGGGAGAGAAAACATCATGGGTGGATGGATGGATGGATGGATGGATGGATGGATGGATGGATGGATTACGATTGGAATCTAGGAAAGGAGGGGCATCGGAAAGGAAAGGCAGGCTGGCTGAAGGGCGGGCGCACGTTCAGAGGCATTAACAACCTAAAGGAGACCGACGCAGCGAGCAACGGTGAAGGCAGGTGAAGGCGGGTGAAGGTGGGTGAAGGTGGGTGAAGGTGGGGGTGCATGGCATGACCCGCACGTGCATGGACGCAGGAAGATGAGGGGAAAGGAAGCGAAGGAGGGACGCCTGTGGGACAACGAGAAGGAATGTAGGGAGTGGGAATGAGCGGCATGAACGAGGTGGGAAGGAGAGGACGAGGGCAGGAGGTGGGAGGGGTGAGCGGGGAGGGCGGGTAGGAGGACGGCGGAAGAGCGGGAGGGGGAGGGGGAGGGGGAGGGGGAGGGGGAGGGGGAGGGGGAGGGGGAGGGGGAGGGGGAGGGGGAGGGGGAGGGAGAGGGGGGGAGTGGGCGGGGGGCACCTTGAAGTGGTGCTGGGGAACACTGCCCGCCATGGATGGCGGCACCTCCCTGCCTCCCAGCAGCAGCAGCACCGCCTGCACCTGCATCACAGCAGAACCAGCACAGCGGGCACCACACAGGGCAGCACACAGGGCAGCACACAGGGCAGCACACAGGGCAGCACACAGGGCAGCACACAGGGCAGCATGGGAGGGCAGCACACAGGGCAGCACACAGGGCAGCACACAGGGCAGCACACAGGGCAGCACACAGGGCAGCACACAGGGCAGCATGGGTCAGCAGGGCACATGTGCACTGCCTTCCCTCGTGTACCATGTGCCAAGACTTGCACAACTTTGCCCCTTCACAAAAAAAATCTCTCCGATATGTGGCCATGAAACATCTATCCTATTTGCGATGTGGGACATAGAGGAATCATGTAACCCAGCTCCAATACCTCCCTTAAAACGCCTTCGCATCTAGTTCATAAAGGCATCGCATCCCCCCAACCCACCTTTCCAGCCCCACGCGACAGCCCTCACCGTGCACCACCTCACCGTGCACCACCTCACCGTGCACCACCTCATCGTGCACCGCTTCACCACCCCTGCGCTCTGCACTCCTCTCGTCCGCCTCCGCTCTACCATGGCAACCCCCTGCCCCATCCGCGCAGCCCGTTGCCCCAAACTGCCCACACAGCCAGTCCCCCCATTTCCCCCTCCCATGCGCGCGGCGCACCTTTTCGGGCAGCACGCAGTCGAAGACGTACAGCTCCCAAACTCCCCTCCCCTTTCCGCCCTCGCTCCCCCCTCCCCGCGCGGCGCACCTTTTCGGGCGGCACGCAGTCGAAGACGTACACCTCGCCGTGGTACGAGAGCGACAGCATGTTCGGCCCGCCGCCGCGAATCGCGCCGCCCATTCCGCCGTCGCCGGCGGCCATGACGCCGTCGTGGTCGTGCTCGCCCGACCCCGCGCCGCCGTGCTCGCCGCCGTCGTCGTCGCCGTCGTCGTCCATCACGCCCTCGTCGCCCTCCGCCACGTCCACGTCATCCATGCCCACCTCCACGTCAGCTCCGCCAAGGTGCTGCACGAGCGCGAGGTGTTGCTGATGATGACGTGGCGGCTGATGCTGGGAAGTCCCCGGCTGCGCGATACCCATGCCGAGGCCTTGTTGCTGCTGTTGTTGCTGCTGCTGCTGCGCGGGCTGGTGCTGCAGTGCGCGGTGTTGGTGCTGCTGCGACGGGTGCTGCGACGGGTGTTGCGACGGGTGCTGCGACGTGTGCTGCGAGGGGAGCGCATGTGGCGGCGCGTGCTGCTGCGACAGCTGATGCTGAAGGCCCGGCGGCGGCGGCGGCAGCGGCGGTTGGAGGTGGTGCGGATGCACGTGGGCGAGGGCGGCGGGGTGATGCGGTTGGAACGGTAGCGACGCGGCGTGCATGCCGCGCGCCTGCAGGTCCAGCATCATGTGGTGCTCCGCCATGCACGGCCGCGCGGCGACGGCGCGCGTACCTAGCTTCTCTAGGGGCCAAGAGTTGTGGCGAGGCCGACCAGAACGTGATGCGTGACGGGCTCACGTCTTATTCAATGTGTTCCGCTTGTTCGCAAGCTTTAATCGCAAATACTCTGGCGTGGCGAACGACAGAGACGCGATACCTCGGAACGCGAAGAGTAAAGCTCGCATAGAGTTAATTTTGTCAAGAGTTACATCGAACGAGAAGACCGCGTTGAGGGTTTGGTGTCGCGGTTCGGATAGAGTAGATTTCTAGAATCTTCGAACAATTGAATTTTTGAAGGGCACGTGTGGAAAGAGGGTTCTACGAGTTGCTGCATTTGCGACGTAAGAGAATCCTAATTTCGTTACAGTTGTTCTTGTCACGATACACAATCTTGGAGTACACTTCAGCGAGTCAATCCACCACATCCACCAACAGGTTTCATGAGCACATGCTGCTGGTCAGCGGTCTAGGGTTTACTTTCTCTCCTTTCGCAATAAACTCGCCACTTGATCCGCTCTTCAGCTCCTACTCTCAGTCGCAGCGCCCTTTCCATTTCGTTCCGCTCGTTGCGCTCACCGCCTCCACCGGCGAGGATCGTCGTCACACAAGCGACCGTGTGTCGTTAGCGACGTGCGATGGCAGCGGAGCCGGCACAGCCGCAGGAGTGGGCGGCGGTGGAGCAACAACCGGAGGTGTCGCGGTCCGTCATCACATCGGCGATCGACCGGCTGATTGAACAGGCACGCCTAGGGTTTCCTACCATCAGCCCAGCGGATTTGTCGACGTTTGCTGACTTGTTTATTTTTCACGCGACGATGTTCCTTACGGGAACCAGTTGCGTGAGGGACGTTGTTAGCTAATGCAGTGGCAGTAGGCCGCCGCTCGCCCTAAGGGATGCGCCATCGCCGAGCCTTTGCCCTCCGTCACACGCGAGTGTGCCGTAAAGCCACCTCGTGTCGCAGCGTTTTCTCGGTCGTGACCGTCGAGCCGCCTAGTGCATCGCCTCGTCCGCCGGCACTATCGGCGACTGGAGCGGGTGACGTGCTCGGTGTTGGCGCGTTCGCGCACGGGGCGGGCGTGTGTGGCGCGCGTGTTGACGTTCAGCGGTAGAGGTGGCCACGCTTTGGTTAGGCAGAGCAGGCAAGGGGAGAGCCGGTGGTGGTGGGTACATTGAAAAGTCGTGGAGTCAATGCTTTGCTGAGAGGCAATCATGGCGCAAGGGAAGTCAAATTGACTGCACGGATTGGTTTCTGCGAAACGCGACGCTTACTCTCTGTCTCCTCGCGCGTCCATCCGCGCCTTCCCCGCTGTTCGCGCGTGCGTGTGTGTGCTGCTTTGTGCGTGTGTTGCGAGCGAGCGGGCTCGCAGGGCAAGGAGACAGTGACTATAGTGGCGGTGGGTAAGGGCAGCGTGGGCAAGAGCGCGACGCTCACTTGCTGTTTCCTCCCGCGTCCCTCCGCGCCCTGCCCTGTGTGCGCCCCTGTGCTTGTGCGTGTGCGCCTGCATGCTCGCAGGGCAAGGAGACGGCGACGATAGTGGCGGTGGGCAAGAGTGCGACGGTCACTCTTTGTCTCCTCCCGCGTCCCTCCCCTCCTTGCCCTCTATTCGTGCGTGCATGTGTGCGTGTGTGCTCGCAGGGCAAGGAGACGGTGACGATAGTGGCGGTGGGGAAGGGCAGCGTGGGCAAGAGCGCCACGCTCAACGCGCTGCTGGGGGAGCGCCTCTTCCCCACGTCGGGCTTCCAGGCGTCCGCGCACCCGCGCGAGGCCGTGCGCCAATACGGCGGCGCCACGTTGCACGTCATCGACACGCCCGGACTCGTCGACGCCGGTACCGTCAACCGCGCCGCGCTCGACGCCATCCTGCAGTGAGTTGCGCCGCAGTGGCATGCTTTAAGCGCCATGCGCCATGCGGTGTGATGAGAGGAGAGTCCGCCGTGAGCGGAGTGCGTGTCGCCTGCATGCACATCATCGTGCGTGTCGCCTGCATGCACATCATCGTGCGTGTCGCCTGCATGCACATCATCGTGCGTGTCGCCTGCATGCACATCATCGTGCGTGTCGCCTGCATGCACATCATCGTGCGTGTCGCCTGCATGCACATCATCGTGCGTGTCGCCTGCATGCACATCATCGTGCGTGTCGCCTGCATGCACATCATCGTGCGTGTCGCCTGCATGCACATCATCGTGCGAGCACACACCCCATCCCCATGATCTGAGCGCTCGCACCTCATGCCCCATCATCATCCGCCACACCATACTGCGCTCCTTCCACCGCCCCTTGCCTCGACTTACCCTGCGTCTCTCCGCTCTCCGTGGCCCTCTCCCCGCCCGCCCGCCCGCCCTGTATGCGCGGCAGCGCGCTGCACTGCGTCGACTGGCTCGACGCCCTTCGTGCTTTCAATCCCCCCCTTTCCTTTCCCCTCCCCTCCCCCTACCCCACCCCCCCTCCCCCCGGACCACGCGAGCAGCGCGCTGGTGGGGCGCACGGTGGACGTGGTGCTCTATGTGGAGCGGCTGGACGCGTACCGAGTGGACACCATCGACGCGCTCGTCGCGCAGGGCATCTCCAACGCCTTCGGCCCGCAGGTGCCGCTCCCCTGCCACCCCTGCCACCCCTGCCGCCCGGTACCCCTCCTCGCCAACCCCTCTCCCTCTATGCACCCTCTTTCTCCTCGTGTTGCGCGTTGCCCCGTCCCCGCCCAAACCCGCCCCATCTCCGCCCAAACCCGCCGAATCTCGGCCCATGCCCGCCGTGTCACATTTGCCTCCCCACTTTTCATCCCATGGCTGCTGCTCGCGCGCGCACCTCACGTGCCGTAGCGGCCACACATGCCCCTCGCTCACCCTCTCCCTCCTGCCCCCCTCACCGCTTGCGTGCACCCATGCGTGCCCCCCCATGCGTGCCCCCCCATGCGTGCCCCCCCATGCGTGCCCCCCCATGCGTGCCCCCCTATGCGTGCCCCCCCATGCGTGCCCCCCCCTGCGTGCCCCCCCTGCGTGCCCCCTGCGTGCCCCCTCTGTGCGCCGATCAGATCTGGAAGCGCGCGGTGGTGGTGTTGACGCGCGCGCAGCTGTCGCCGTCGGACGGGCGCCCCTTCGGCGACTTCGTGGCGGCGCGCAGCGATGCGCTGCTGGGGATGATCCGCAAGCAGGGCCGCCTGGGGAGGAACGACGAGGTGAGGGCGCGGAGCGTGCAGGAGGCGAGGGGGCGAGGGGGAAGGGCGACGAGGTGAGGAGCTAGGGGCCTGGTGGTAGGTGATGGGTGGTGGGTGGGTTGGAGTGGCAGCAGGCAGCGCGTGAGGGAAGGGGCGGCGGTTGGATGGAGAAGGCGGGTGCAAGGCTGGCAGTGGCAGGGCCGTGGGAGAGCCGTGGGAGGGGCGTGGGAGGGGCGTGGGAGGGCCGTGGGAGGGGCGTGGGAGGGGCGTGGGAGGGCAGCAGCAGGCTGGGCATTGGAGCATGCAGTGAGGGAGGGGTGGCATGGACATGGGGCAAGGGGCGCCTCGTGGGGCAAGGGGCGCCTCGTGGGGCAAGGGGCGCCTCGTGGGGCAAGGGGCGCCTCGTGGGGCAAGGGGCGCCTCGTGGGGCAAGGGGCGCCTCGTGGGGCAAGGGGCGCCTCGTGGGGCAAGGGGCGCCTCGTGGGGCAAGGGGCGCCTCATGGGGCAAGGGGCGCCTCGTGGGGCAAGGGGCGCCTCGTGGGGCAAGGGGCGCCTCGTGGGGCAAGGGGCGCCTCGTGGGGCAAGGGGCGCCTCGTGGGGCAAGGGGCGCCTCGTGGGGCAAGGGGCGCCTCGTGGGG